AGCCAGCCAGGGCTGCCAAACCAGGTCTCCTCCCTCCTCAGCCTCTCCAGCGAGGGAGAGGTTCCTATGGATGTCGCTCAGTGCCTTGGGCTGGCTGGGACTCCTCGAGAACCCCTGGCTCTTGGAGCCTGTTTCCTCCTTTCTAGAATAGAAATGGAGCTGTTTGGAGATGCACTTGCAGATAATAGAAGTGAAAAGTGGACAGCACACAGTAGGTGCTAAGGAGAATGTGCTCAGGGGAACGTCAGGGATTGCTGGTCTTGTCCTGCTGTTTGGGCCTGGGGCAGTAGAGATGCCAGCTGATGTCCGCACGGTGGGGAAGCCCAGGTCAAGCAGTAGCAGGTCTCAGGGAGAAGGGAACCCCAAGTGGCTCAGGTGTCTCAAACCCCAGCCTCCAGTTTGGCAGGGGCAGGGGTCCTGTGTCCTGGATCTTGCCCAGCTCTAAAGCTAGTAAGCCCCAGGGAGGCCACCCCCGCCAGCTGACGTGGGCGTCAAGACAGATGATGGCAAAAGGACTTCCATATGCACGAGATCAACTGTTTATTGATTTTGTAACTAAAATACTACACATTTAAAGGAACTCCTCAACTGAAAAGACTCTTGACAATTTTTGGTAAATCTGTAGCACAGAAATGAGGATTTCTGCTGGTAAGTTCTCATGACGGACAGACACACATCCACTTTCCAAGCAAGACATGTGCTCACTGGAAACGGAGTAAATGCATAGCTTGTGATGGCAGCGAGGTTCTCCCCCACCCCTGCCCACCCCATGTGACCACAGTGTAGCTCTGGCCGCAGCACCTGATCCCTGGCGACTCTGGGCAGTCAGAGGAGAGACCTGTGCTGTGGGTAAGACCCAGCTTTTGTTTGTGCACAAGTAATACAATGACTGCAATCGGCAACTGCTGCAGACACGGGCATTTTACAGTGTTCTGCTATAGAACCAAGGACAGAGGCCAGTCAGCAGCCGGCCCTGCAGTCAGCTGCTGACGACTAGCCTCCCTCCAGCAGGCACCATGGCAGAGAGGTCCCAGGCTCACTGAGCCCGGGAGGAGACCAGACGGCCAGCCAGGCCTGTGCCTGAGTGCCACAGACTTCAAGCAGTTGACAAATGAAACTCACTGTTAAAAGCTGTTAAATCTCATTAAAACAGTAGATGAGTGCTTTAGATTCTCTGAATATCAAATAATATATACAGATATACACCGAGACATGACAGTCTAATATAAAGCATCTTTATCTACAGATGCATGTGCTTGAAAAGTTAGTCTTCTGACTTTTTAACTCTGAATCACTGATAAAGTTAATTTGCAAAAAAGTGAAGTTTGAAGCAAGAATAGAGTGGAAATAATTTTTAAATATGGCAATCTGGGGGATCACTAGCTAAGGTTCTATCTAAAGCTTGCACTGACGTGCCCAAAAGCACAAAGAGCGTTCCTAGTAGAAACCAGACCATGACCCGGTCCCACCTCCTGCTACAAGCCCCTGCCTCAAACACCGTCGGCACACGAGGCTGAGCCCACATGGGCGTGGTTGAGTAATGGCATGGGAAGAGCAATCGTTTCCTCAAGACTGCTGTGCATCAGTCTGTGCCATAATTTAAGTAGAAAGGAACAGAAAAGCAGGTATATAAAAAGTATAACTGTACATAGCTTTTAAATTAAAAACCTTAAAATCTTCACTTAGAAAACAGGATGTAAGCTTGTTCATTTAAGTTGCAGGTGATGGGAGTTGTCAGAGAAAGTAATCAGTGTAACCCACCATTGACTCGGAAAGGAGAGACAAAGTCAAGAACAGAGATCCATGATAGGCCGGCGGGCACAGCGGGCAGGGAGGGGTGGCTACTTCTGCTGTCTGCGTCTTCCTGCACTCAGATCCCTCCAGCTGCACTCGGAAAGGTGCCGAGTCCCAGGCAAAATGACCAGTTCGTCTGCCTTCCAGGGACACCATGAAGCTGAGAGCAATGGAACCATCATCTCTTGCAGGAAAAGGAGTGGATGCCCACGTGGCTGGCTGCGGCTTCTGGGCCCACCGCCTCCGTCCCCACGCTGGCCTGTCCCCCGGCTCATCACTGGATGGCCTCCACGTAATTTGCTGGGTAGAGGCCAACTTGCCCGTTGTCCAAGCGTCCCTTGCACCAGCCCTGCTCATCCTCGTCCTCCATCTTGGTCAGCTCGTCCCCTGCAAGACAAAGAGGGAGCGCTTTCTGTGAGAGGGTGTGACACCGACTGTGGGCTAGAGAGCCGCATTCACGAGCTTTGACCCACAGAGGGTGGAGGGCCAGGCATTCTGCTGTGGGCAGGCCGAGGACCTGGTCATTTCTCTACTAAATGCATTTTAAGTTGCCTCGTTGGTCATGGGCCTCTGAGAGATCTAGAGATGACAGTATCACAGAGTGATTTATAGCAAGCAGCTCTCAGCTGCCACAGTGGCTCCCACTGAGACTGCAGCGTGGAGCTCCGCAGGCCTGTGCCTTCTTCACCGCCCTGGCCAGGTGGCAGGAATCGTCCCTCAGTTGTGCCCCTCCCTCACGCTGGGCCTCTTCTGCTGTCCTCCCCTCTGGGGCCCCGGCCACCTCTCCCCCTGCAGGGGTCTCTGAGGTCTCTCTGCCTTTGCTAATCCCTCCCCTCTGTAACTTCCAGGCTGTGAGACAGGTAGGGACCATGTCTGACAATCATACCTGTCATTCTGTCCCCAGCACCTGGCTGAGGACTGTGCAAGGTGCCATCTGTCAACCCCTCCTGACAGCCCAAGCCAGGAGTCCCTGGCACTGTTCTGGAATCTCCCTGTGGCTCTATGTGTTGGTGTGGTTCCATTTTTCTTATGCTCGTTCCAACCTGAAGGACCCCCTACTTCTGGCCAGGCCTTGGGTAGAGGAGGAGATGTATAAGCCCGGTCTCAAGGAGGCAAACCAGGGCAGTGAGGGGAGGTGACACCAGGGTGGGGCCCCAGGTCTGGCATTTGCCAGGTTAAGGAAGCAGAGCAGCCCAGAACCCAGGAGTGGGCAGGGGCCTGTGTGCTTCTGATAACTCACTGCAGGGAAGGCCAGTGGGGCCTGCTGGCTTGGACCTTGTCAGGAGCAAGCAATTGGGGGAAAAGAGATAGTCTCAGTGCTGTTTTGCCTTTATTGTTAAGTTTGTAGTTTTGTAACTCGGCATTTTTTGGTCCATTTTTCAGAATTAGATGCAGTTTTCCCCCTGGTTTAGCATTTCCCTGGTGCTTTTTATTTTGTATGGCAGCAATACTGGTCAAGATGCCTACAGAGCTAACATCTGGGGCTTCCGGTGCTCCCCGGACTGGGAGACCTAGACCAACTGCCTCCACACCTGGGGACTGTGGCCCTCATCTGCGGACTGGGGGTGCTCTGAGGATTCAGTGTTAAAACACAAAAGAACCCTGGGATGATGGCACTGGCTCAGCCTCCCACTGTCACGCGCTTCCGCCAGCCCAGTGCTCCTGCAGATCTGACCCAGAGGCATCAGGAGAAGATGCGGGGCTACAGGGCAGCAGCCGTGATGAACTACCAGCTCCTCCCACCGCTTCATGCCTCGGCCCTGGCGTTTTTGTCCTGCCTCCCTGGGCTGCTGTGCTCACAGGCCTGGCTCCAGGCTACAGAGGCTAGGATGAGCCCTGCAACTGATGCTACCGCATGGCGGGCAGCTGTGAGAGACGTAAGTCGAGCCACACTGGCTGGGAGCTAATTTTGCATTGTTAAAAAGCAGAATAACAGAGAAAATAGAATGGACAGAAAGCTTTCACATTGTGCAAATGTGAATTGGTGATTAGAACAGTTCATTTCAGTTTGCTTTTGACAATTTACTTGAAGCTGGAGGAAACATTTTAAATCTACAAAATGACTGTCAAACCCAACAGGATTGAAAAGATGTTAGAAATTATAAACAAATCCACAAAGTCGGGAGTAACAACCCCAACCAAAGGTATCAGAAGCTGGATGAAGATGGCTTAAAGGAACATTAAAACAAACAAGCAAACAAAAAACTTCTGAAACTGGGCAGAGGCACCTGATGACCAGCCCTGGGGGTGAGTGTTTGGGGACAGCAGCTGGCACTCTGGGTGCTGAGGCGGCTGAAGGCTGGTGGGAAGCTAGGCCACTGGGCACAGCCTCCAGGCCTGGGCTTCCCTGCTGAGTGGCGGACTGGGGTGGTGGTGGGAAGGCAGCCTTTCCCACAGTGTGGCCTAGGGGCAGGGGCACACTTCAGCCTGTGTGGGCTGACTTCTGGCCCAGCCTCCCTCTCGGAGTGGAATATGTTGCTTCTGGAGGAGCTTCAAAAAGAGGGCCAGATAGAGGGAAGAAATCTGGGTTGCTGTGAGTCTGCTTTGGCCTTAGGGCATTCCAGCTTCCTTAAGTGCTAAAACAGCAGTTTTCTTTTTTTTCAGGCAGAGTCTCACTCCATCACCCAGGCTGGAGTGCAGTGGCATGATCTCGGCTCACTGCAGCCCCCACCTCCCAGGTTCAAGTGATTCTCTTGTCTCAGCCTCCTGAGAAGCTGTGTTTACAGGCGTGCACCACCACCCCTGACGAGTGTGTGTGTGTGTGTGTGTGTGCGCGCGTGTGTGTGTTTAATACAGACAGAGGTTCACCATGTTGGTCAGGCTGGACTCGAACTTCTGATCTCATGATCCGCCCACCTCACCCTCCCAAAGTCCTGAGATTACAGGCATGAGCCACCACGTCTGGTCTAATTTTTTCTATTTTTTGTAGAGACAGGTTTCACCATGTTGCCCAGGCTGATCTCAAACTCCTGGGCTCAAGCAATCCTTCCGCCACCACCTCCCAAAGCTCTGGGACTATAGGCATGAGCCACCACACCCAGCCAATTGGCTACTTTTGGAAATGAAGCCAGGGCACTGGGGAAGGGCCTGCAGTGACTCACAAGTGAAACTAGCAAGAACTTTTTCAGACTTAGGAAACAAAAAGGACCCCGCAACCTGCAGGTTGGAGCCCTCCTCCCTGGGACGCTGGGGGAGCCCACTTACCAGCCTTGAAGCTCAGCTCATCATGCTCCTGCCCCTCGTAGTCATACAGGGCCCGGACTCGCACTTCCGTCCCCGAGGTGGTGTCCTCGTCGAATGGATTCGAGTCCCCGTTGGCATCCGTGGAGGAGAAGGGGTTGTTCGACTCATCGTCTGACCAGTCGGTGGGATAGCTCTGGGTCTTCTCGTAGCTGCTCACACTGCAAGAAAGGGGTGGCCACAGGGCCCTCAGCACCGGGCCGGCAGAGGGCGTGAGGCCCCTGCCCCTGCAAGGGGAGGGCACTGGAGCCTTGGGGTTCAGGGCTGAGGGCTCCTTCCGAAGGAGCACAGCTCTCTGGCGTGACAGCACAGGGGAGCCAGCCCTAGTGAGAATCCGTGCCATCCACACTCATCCTGAGCCACCAACAGGCTTTCTAGCAGCAGGCGGCTGGAGATGCCTACAGCAGAGCCCCGCAGAGGCCCACCTGGAGCCTTGCTCTCTAGTCCCCAGCACAGACTGCGTGCTTGTCTGTTTTCCTGTGGTGGTGCTGCTGGGGCCTTGAGGGGTTAACAGAGAAAAAGCAATGGAAGATTGTTAGCTGTGCCCTCCCTGAGGAATGGGGGCACCAGAGAGCCTGTGCACCAGCAGGTGGTGGACCAGGGTGCAGCACGCCAGGGGCCCACTTCCTGCAGGGCTTCGTGCATTGCCGAGTGCTGAGGGGCGAGACCCCCGGACAGAGAGAGAAAGAGAGAGAGGGAGCAAGACAGAGCGAGCGAAGTGCGACCAGAGGAAGCGTTTGTTCACCAACTTTTTGGCCTTAGTGTCCTCCTTCTCACTGACGGTGCTGCCCGTGTCGTCCTCATCCTCGAAGGGGTTGTAGCTGGACTGTGACTGCGCAGACTGGGCGGGGTTGCTCGGGACATTAAGGGTGCTATGGAGAGAGAGAGCTTTCAGGGGATCCCAGCTCCGCAGGGGCCAGTGAGGGTCCTGGCAACTCCCAGCTGCAGGATGTCATGGGACAAATCGGCTCCTCCTGTGACTGGAGGGGACCATGGTGTTTCAACAGAAAGGTTACTGTAGTAGAATGTGGACGATACTTCAGCTGTGAAACACAGTCCAGGCGCCTAGGAGAGCACTCCATTTCCCTTTTCCTTCCTTGCATCTGGAGACAGTCCAGAGTAGGGGCACTGGGGTGGCAGCTGACAGACCACAGTTAGAGCAAAAGTGGTTTCCAGGTTCGGGGCTTCTCCCCTGTCCTGGCTCCTACCACTGTGAGATGGCAGGTCAAAGAGCCCCTCAGGGTCTCCTCTGAGAGTGACAGTCTGGGAGGGGCCGGCTCCCATGGACAAGAGGGCAGGGGCTCTGAGCTCTTCGGACTCCTCCTACTACTAAGAGGGGTTCAAGGCTCGCTCTTTTGCTCTTTGGGGCTGGAACTCCCAAAATCAGGGCCAGAGCCTGCCGCACAGCCCTTTCTAGGCAGGAAGAAGGATTCCTTTGGTACTCCAGAGGGAAAATCCATTCGTGCAACTGCCTACTGTGTGCCAGGCCTAGTGCGGGAACCAGAGGGATCTGGGCCTGGGGGCTGGAAGCCGGGAGCTGAGTTACGCACTAGGAAGACCACAGGAAGACCACAGGAAGATCACAGGAAGACCGTCAAGCAATCGGACCAAGGGCACTTGCACCCCACCAAGTAACTGATCCTACATGGGCAGCAGCACCTTCTACTTCCACAGACCAGGGCCTCAGGGTGCAGGCCTCCAAAGCACTGGATGGAGGGCTCGGCCCGAGCACCCACCACCCAAGAACCAAGGAAGGGGGGTGAGGACACACCTCCAATGCCACTAGAGTGGCCAGAAACTGCCTCATCCACTTCAGCCTGGCAAGGGACTCTAGACCTAAGCCTGCTGGTGGCCAATATCCAGGCCACATGTCTGAGATCACCGGCCCTCCTCCCACCTTGGCACCTTTCTCTAGCAGACTGTCATGAGAGGGGACCAGTGGGGGCAGGTGAATGTGCAGCAGCTCTGACCAGCCCAGAGCCACCAGGGTCTCCTCCGAGGCAGTGTCTCTTCCCTCCCATTCTCATCCCCAGGCACACAGGTGCCGGCCTGATCCCTGGGACAGGCACTTACTGACAAGCCCACCTGCCCAGACGGTGTGCACAGCAATGGAATGACGACAGCCAAACCTGTTGGGGATCCTGGGCGAGGGCTTCCGTGCCTGGGGCTGCAGGAAGGCCGTGGGAACCTAGGCTCAGCCTTCTTAGGAAGCCCCAATATGAAATGATATTACTGAGTGTGACATGGAGGTCTCTGGGCAGGTCCTGTAGGAAGTCCTCCTCTAGCCCACACCTTCCAGAAGGTTCTAACAACCACAGTGCCACCCTTATAGCTCTCATTTTCAGCCAATGACTAAGTCAGAAATAAACAGTGCTCCCAATGAAGAGGTAATTTGGAAAGGAGACACCTGGCAGTCCTCTCCTGTCCCTCCCTTAACTGGCACCTGCACACAATATGGAGTGAGCATGAACCTTGGCAGGACCTCAGCTGCCCAAGGGACCCAGGGATGGCACCTCAACCAGTGTCTGGGCAGGGCGGTGCCATCCCTGGGGACACAAATGCCAACCCTGTCATCAGCTCCTCCCCCCTCAGGTCTGAAGCTTGGGGCCAAGCCTCCCTCTCTGGATCCGTCAGCAGCTCTGGCACCAGGCAGGAAGATGACCCTCCCAGAGATGCCACTGGGTCACGGCCCACAGAGCGCAGAAGCCCAGGAACCTCCCAGGTGTCCAGGCTGGGGCTGTCCTGGACCATGCAGATTGCCCAGGGGGCCCTTCCCTTGGGGCAGCCTCCTTTGGATGGAGGTGGTGCCTGCTCACCTGCTGGGCTTATTCGGCAGAGACTGGTCGCCTGTTTGGTTGATGCCCGTCAGGGTGACGCCGTCAGTGGCCTTCTTCTTCTCTCTCCGGGTGAGGGTTCGATTCAGGTCTGCAGACCACTCCTGGGCAACAGGTGTCGAGGGAGAGAAACTAGAGGTTCACTTGCTGGAAGCCATGTCCACAGTTCCCACCCAGTGAGCCTGCAGTGGGCTCTGTGTGTGTCATGTGTAGACTCAGGGCCCTGCTCTCCCTGGTTTCCCAGATGACCTCAGGCTGCCATGTCCCACCTATGAACCCAAACGACCTGAGCCCCTTCTTCACTGTTCAAAGCAGGGGCTCATCAGAGGGCCTGGAGGCTTGCACCTCTACAACCACCCCAACAGGCCATGCCGCCTGCCTCCCAGAGGAGTACTGTCCAGCAGGGGTGGCAAGGACTGGGCTTGACACTCGATGTCCTATCTCCCAGTCTGGGGCCTCCCGATCCTGACCCTGCCCACCATGGTTCTCAGCTCCAGGCCCCTCAGGCCAGCATGGGCCCCTGTGGCCTCCCAAGGTGTCTGCTGAGCCTCCCAAAGTAGACAGGAGCCAGCCTCTGAGGCACTTGTCCTGAAGTGCTAAAGATCCTGCATGTGAGTGCCCTAAACAGTCCCTTGGGCCACAGGGTTGAGATAACTGGCTCTTGAGACCTGAGCAAGCCTGACATGCAGAAAAATGGGTCCTGAATTGCAAATAAAACCAGGGCTACCACCTAATCGAAGGGGCAGGCAAGCGGGCTCTCAGTCTCTGAGGAGCAGGGCCCTCGCTGTGTTTCGCTGCCCTCGGACTTTTCCTCTGTGATGTGAACAGCATGCTGGGGCTAACTAAGCAGAGCAGAGCACGCTCCTCCCCGAAGCCTCACGAGTTCCTGGGCAGTGAACAGGCCTCACCAACTGCACTGCAAATGGACTAGGGCAAAACCAAGAAAGGGGGCTGTGTCTTGATTCTCTGGAAGACTGTGCGCATGCCCGTGTGTGTCTGAGTGCATGCCCGCAGGTTTAACGAGTTCTCCTTCCCTCCAATCTCCACCAGTTACCAGACAACTTTGATTAAAACTTGGTATGGCTGAGTCCACAGTTCTGCTCGCACGTGTTTACAGAACTTCTAGGCTGGAAGCCAATGCAGAAGCATCCTGTCTAACCTGTCCATCTGTCAGACGAGCAAACTGAGGCCTAGAAAGGCAATGTGACTTGCCCACACAGAGTGGGTGGAGACCTGGGCCCTTGACCCCAAATCTGGGCCACTTTTTTGTCTATTTTCTGAGTAAAATAGGTTGACAGAGAACTGAATGGGAAACTCAAAGTTCTCCCCAGTGACCTCTGAGTATAAATCCAGCCTGATCCTGATTGGGTGGCTTCCAAAGGCCAATGGGATCAACATCAAGCAGACGCTGAAAGGAAGGCCCGGCTCTCAACCACCCTGACAGCAGCACAGCCTCAGACGAACTGCTACGAGCCTAGCTGGGGCAGCACCACACACACCCACACGGCATGCAGACACCCTGCAAGGCGTATGGCACTCTATGAATTAGCCAAACACAGACACTTACTTCATCCTTGTGGCATGAAAAATAAAAACAAATCAGTGCATTAGAGAAAGTCAGGCATGGTCCCCTAACAGCTGCAAACCTGCGTACAAGGAACACACAGGGGCTGGTTCCCAGCCCACAGACCCACAGAGAAAGGCACCCCTAGGCTCTGGCTGGAATATCCTCCCCAGGAGACAGACTGTCAAATAGTCCTCCCCACTGTTCCCCTCTCTAGGTATTGATGGGCCCCTTGAAGGCACTCAAGCAAGTTTCACAGGTGATTTCCTGTGCCACTCCAGGCAGTAATATTCACTGTGCCTGAAGCCCCAGCTGTGCACAAAACATATCAGCCGAACCTTCCTGGTATGTGGCTCCAGAGGAGAGGCAGGGCTTTGTGCTGTCCCCTCTAGGGTCACTTCCACCTGGGAAGGCTCTGGCCCTCCACGCTCTCTCAGTGCTTCTGTGGTAGTGGCACAGCTGCTCTGCAGCCTCCTACTGGGAGCAAGTCCTGAGGCTGCGCAGGGGAGTGCTTGGCGGCAACGCCTACACAGTCATTTGGAGAAACCTTCCCGTTAAGGGCCACAAAAGAAGTGTAGAAGTGGGGACTGACAAAACTGCAGGCTACGAGGCACCCAGGAGGCTTCTGAGTGGTAGGCCTGAGCCAACAGCCCTGCATAGACAAGGTCACCGTGTTCCCCAACAGCCCTGACAGGAGATGGGTGCTCTTGTCATTCCCATTGCACACGTGGGAAAACTGAGTCACAAAAAGGGTGAATCGTTTGCTCAGCTTCCCACAGGTTGTCAGAGGTGAGGCAGAATCTGAATGCAGCCCAGGCTCTGGCCGCTGCTGAGTCAGGGAAGCCATGAGGCCCACGCCCATGGCAGAGGTAGTCGCCCTCAGCATCCCCGCTGGGGCAGCTGACGCCGCATGCTTCCTCATCACATAGGAACAGGGGCGGCAGGACCATCGGCCACTGCCTTCTATCCTACCGTCAGGGTGCCAGGTGGGGCCTGGTGACCCAATCCTAGGGCTGGGTGAGTCCTGAGATCCCCAGGCCCTTGCATTTCGAATGTAAACATAGCTAAAGGCTCAGACCCACAAGATGGGAAAAGAAGAATGTTCATTTTTAATTTCACCAAATTTACTGCCTGGAGTAGGGAAAAGTCCTTTGTTCAAAGGGTAAGGAGGGCTGCCCACTAAGACTGCCTCCCTTCCCCTACCCCACTGTGAGGGGGGCACTATGGCTGCTCCCTTCCCGGCAATCCCATAGGGTGGGGCAGGGACCTGAGATCCTGTGTGTCCCATGGCTCCTGGGACTGACTAGGAAGGAAGAAAATGCCAGTGGCCAAGTGACAGCCAAACATTCCCAACTAGAGGACATAACTGCGACTTCACGAGAAGTTCAGAAGGCCTTCGGTAATACCTGCGGCCCCCCCAGGACTCTAAACCAGAACTTGGGCTGTACTAGGCTATGGTCTGTACTAAGCTTGGTCTATACTTAGCTATGCCTAAGGCTGCCTGAAGGCCAGGCCCGGTGGCTCATGCCCGTAATCCCAGCACTTTGGGAGGCCAAGGTGGGCAGATCACCTGAGGTCAGGAGTTTGAGACCATCCTGACCAATATGATGAAAGCCCAACTCTTAAAAAAAAAAAAAAAAA